TTTATTTATTTATCTATTTGTTTTATGTAAAATAATGTTCCAGATGCATCTGATGTTAACACAGTTTTTGGGTTAAAGAAAAAGGTACTAATATTATAATATTTTTGTCTTTATTTTAACATACTTAAAGTATTTCAACCAAAACATTTTTTAAACCAAATTTATGTCAAAGTTTTTGTTATTTATTTATTTATTTTATATGCTTCAAAAATAATCACTACACAATACAGTAAAAAGCATTTTTTCTGTCTTTTATTAGTTACTAACTGTTGTTTGGTTATTCAACTGTATTTTGCTATTCTTCCCCTCACGTTCACACTTCAGGACCTCAATTAGAACACCGTGAGCTCAAGAGAGACAAAAGCTTTTGGAAGGTGTCAGTTTAGAAAAATACGTATTAATTGATTTCTTATTTCAGTGTATACATAACCGTTTAAAACTTTGGGGATGTATGTTTTTTTTTTTGTATATTATTATTTTATTTATTTATTTATTTTTTTTAAGTTTTCTTTAAGGTCTTTCATGGTCACCAAGGCTTTATTAACTGTAAAACAGTAATACTGTAAAATATTATTGCAATTTGATATTTATCTATTTTAATATATTTTAAATGTAATTTGTCCTGTGATGCAAAGCTGAATTTTCAGCATCATTACTCCAGTCTTCAGTGTCACATGATCCTTCAGAAATCATTCTAATATGGTGATTTGCTGCTTAAAAAACATTTATTATTATCAATGTTGAAAACCATTGTGCTGCTTAACATATTTGTGGAAACGTGATACATTTTTTTCAGTAATCTATGATGAATAAAAAGTTCAAAAGAAGAGCATTTATTTGAATTAGAAATCTTTTTTTACATTATAAATGTCTTTACTGTAAATTTTGATCAATTTAATGCAACCTTGCTGAATAAAAGCATTAATCATACTGACCCCAAATTTTTGAATGGTAGTTTATATTTGTTTTGTTTTTTTGTGCTGTCTGAATATTTTAACGGATGCTCAAAGTGATCGGGCCTCCACACCTATTGAAGCTCTTTCATCGCTTCCTTTTTATTCCTCTCTGTGTTTTCCCTATCTATGCATTAGCTTTTCCACGGTACATTGCGGATTACTGCCCTTGCTTGGCTCAGTGGTAAATAAGTGCTTTATTGTTCCCGGGATAAAACTGCCAGGAAGAAATGAGGAATGCTGTGACTTTATCAGACCGAGCAGCAGAGGGCCCAAAGAACAGGGACCTGCAATAATTGCATATTAAAGTGACAACTAGCAGAGTTTTTGCTATTTGTCATGTGGGGGATCATATTATGATGGTGGGAATGTGACATTTAGTGCAAAGAGCTCCCAGTGGAAGTACTCAGAGGGAATAATGACTTTCACCGGCAAGTCCTCTCGGTACTTTGCAGCCACACGCAGAAGAATCCTCTTCGAGAAAATGAGTTGAAATTGACGCACAAGGGCCAGGCGTCTCTAAGATTGATGTGAATTGCACAGCATTCTAAAACTGCTTCTCAGATGTTTGAACAGATAAATCTTCCAATCAAGGGCGTTTAGACGTAAATGAATTCACATAACATCTCTTCACATTAACGCAGGTGTGACAGCTGTCAACCAAGCGGCACTGAAGCGATACCTTATCGGGCTGCCTTGTGTGGCCCCTATGAAGATGTTTTACAGACAGTTGCGCTGTCCTAGAAAAACAGTAATGGATCTGCCTCGACTTTGGTCTCAAAAACCGTGTACTGGTTATTGGTTGATGTGAACAGCATTAAATCAACAGTAGTGTAGCTGTGATTCTGTGAGGACTCTATTTTGTTGATGGCATGTTTACTGATAGCTAAGAACGACTCTCATATTGCTATCGATTTTAGTAAAGGAGATAGCCAAGTGCTGCGTTTTACTCCAGAAGCCATTTTCGTTCTACAGTAAGTATTGAGAGAAATCTTCATCGCCATTGATTTGTGTTTATCTGCATCCACCACATTTGCAGGAAAAAGAATTATCATCCAAATAGTGTTGCCCTTGAGAATGTGCATAACAAGTTGTATATCATGGTCAGGTATTTCTCAAAATATTCAACTTTTAATAATATTTTGATTCATCCCAGAACTCATTAATACATGAAATGTAAGTGTCTCCAATGCATTGGGACTCTAGCAGGTAATTGAAATCTGGTAATATCACTGAAGCAATTTGGAGGCTACGTGTTTTTAATCTGTTCTCCAGCAAGAGCTGTGGCTGCATCGCATTCTTCATGATGTAAATATTAATTTCCATTTAAAATTCTCGTGCGAAGTCCTACCGCAAGATTGTGCCAATCACAGCCGTGTTTGTAGTGTTGTCATGCTCATGCGGGCTGATTTGTCAAGAGTGTTTTGTGCATCCAGCAGTCCACCTGGAATAAAACGTGTTGAATTATTTATCATAGAACCATTACATCCGATTTCACATTAGCTCAGTTTAAGTCTACTGAAGCGGCCGATGATGTGATTGAGGACACTCGTATTGACCGTGGTAGTAGGGCTGATTGCCTGCTTGTAGGTTCGGTCTAAATTACCTCTCAGTTTAAAGGCCTCGCTTTGCCCGAACATATATATTGGCAATCATCAACGGTAGGGAATATATAGATGTCTGCTCGGAATACCTGATGGAAAATGCACTTGGGCCGAGAGGGTTGAATATGAAATGCAATCAGGCGAGATCACTACCGGCCCGCTGTTTAGGGGGCCTTCACTAGATTGGATCAGTGTGTGGAATTGATTGGCCTCATCCCAGGGCTCAAGGTTGTGTTGATTGATAGATGCGATGCGCTCGGGTCTTGTGGTCATGTCTTAGATAATACTGGTGATGAATGGGGTGTTATGGCAATGGCTTCCTCTGCCCACCTGGCAAATTATGCATGGTGATTTAGCACAGCCAGGCAGAAAGGTGTCTGGAAAAATTGGGACTGATTTTGACCTACGTATGTGATGTTTTAACCTAGCCCTTAACATATGCACATAGCTTGACATAAGTACACCATCCGGATCCAAAAAGCCTGGTTCTGCATTGGCGGCCATTCAGAAGTTCTGATGAAATAACATTTTTGCAAGCAACATATATTATAGTAGATATACTAAATTTTTTGTATGTCACAACTCTGAATAGTCCCTAGTGAAAGACCTGCTTATGCGCACAACATGTGGAATGTTTCTAAGGTCTTTCAGTCACCAAATCATGAACAGTGCTATAATTGCTGTAAAAATGCTATTGAATAGCCAGAGTTTTGATTGATAACCATGCTTTCATCTTTGTTAAGGCTAAAACCTTTTACCTGACATGAATGAGTAGAACTCTTTTTGTGGAAATTTTTAAAGAACTCGGAATGAATTACTGTAATTTATCCCCCAAAAAAAAAAAGCCACCTTTGGGTCTTTAGCTTAACTAAATGCTTTTCCCTGAAGGCGGTGAATAATTGTCACTTTTTTCAAGTAAATCATGATTTTTGTTTTCTCTGAAGCCCTCTTTATTCTTTCTAATGCAGTGACATTGTTGGTAGTGACTTGTACAAAACTACTCATAAGGCTGTAAGATTGCATATTGTCTCATAAAATTGGAGTAAAATGGATGTAAAGCTGTCCACAGAATCATTTCATAAATAGTGCCTCAGCACTTACAGTTTCAGAGTGGTTTTATAGCAGGAAGTTACCCAGTTACTCAGTTATGTGATGTTTTCTGCTTACAAAGGCACAGAAGAGCATGAACATGATGTGCAAAATGACAATGTAGCCTTTACTGTGGGAAAAGAGTATAAGATACCGAACATCAAAACATTCTGTTCAATAAGCGTCTTTTTGAATTATTCTTTAAAAGATTTGCCCTAAGAATCAAATAACACTTGTTTACTTGTTGCTTTGTTGTAGCTGCAAAATTTCCAGCTGAATGTGGAGAACTATTCTATTCTATTCTATTCTATTCATTATTTACTATATCAATTTCCATATGTTGTATTACATCCAATTCCTTCTAATAAAGTGTAGTTAAAGGGGTCATGAACTGGCTTTATTAAATGTCACTGCATTTTTTATTTTATACTGTTGTCTGAGGTCCACATATGACATTTGCATGGTTTTTACATTCAAAAACATCAAAATCAATAAGTAATAGGTTATTTTCTACCCTGGTTTTGAGTCTGGCTCGAGAAATGCTGGGTTTTTATGGGTGTGCCGCATTGAAGACTTGTAAGTAAACGCCTACTGCTATGATTGGATAACAGTTTTGCATAGTAAACTAACTTTTTGTGTGTCTGTTTGACAAGTTACGTCCTTCATAGTTGGAGCCTTCTGTGACTTTGGTTAGAGACGCACATAATACAGACATATCAAGCGATCTCTAACAAAGCAATAGTGACACATAGTACAAATATTTTTAGTCACATAAGTGTGCTGCATCATTCCTGTCGGATCCAATATAGACAGCACAGCATTGCTTTTTAATCTCAGTCTCTCTGCAAATCCAGCGTCGACCTGTGTCTTGTTTACAAAGGAATCCGCGGTGAAATGAAGCGAACAAAAGCTCAATGTTTTACTCGCGTGAGCTGAAACGTCATTAAAAATAAAGTTCAACCACGCATTCCTAATATTTTAATCCGAAGGAAGGTTATGCAGCAACTGTATTCTTCCACAACCAGCCACTGCACAATATTCTGCGATCTTCAACGGCATGTTTATTGCTTGGTTGCTCAATCCGGTTTAGCGCCACTTATGTTATTTCCCAACTGTCATGTGCGAATCAGTGGGTGGGGCTACAGAATTAGGCGTTGATGTTCTTCTGTGTTTAACCTATCTATTATAGATAGGCACATTCCAGGATATGGCGTTCACTGGGCCTGGTGTCAAAAAAAGCTTTTATTTCAGTAACAAGGACGTTTTCAGTTCTGAAACTTTCAGGATATACTTTTAGTACCATGACCTTTTATGTATCAAGAGCTCAAGTAAAAGTTATGTTTTCCTCTTCTAGGTTCCTTCATGATGGTGAATGCTTCGGGTCGTGCATCAGGTCAGAAGGCCCACCTGCTCCTGCCCACGCTAAAAGAGAATGACACCCACTGCATAGATTTCCACTACTCCCTGTCTAGCCGGGATGGGACGAGTCCCGGAACCCTTAATGTCTACATAAAAGTGGATGGTGGACCACAGGGGAATCCCATCTGGAATGCCTCAGCACCCGTCACTGAAGGCTGGGTGAAGGCTGAACTCGCAATCAGCACCTTTTGGCCCAACTCCTATCAGGTAAGCATGATGCTAACAATGCCAAAGTCAAATGCCAAATGGGTTTCAATTAAGAGAATCTGCATACTGTGTTTAAAAATAATTTTTAAATTCAGAATATTCTGGTTTAAAGGTGGGTACAATGCTGTTTCATGCATTCAGAGTTGTTTACACTGTTAAAGAGTTGGATTCTCATGCTAAGCATGGACAAAGTTTCGAAAAACAATTTGGACGTATGACAGAGTATCTCTGTGCCAAAAATCTTACTTCTGGGTTCGTACAAGTTTCGGAGAGTTTTTTTCGATCGTGGCTCTTAATGAT